GTACAATTTATCCAGTAATGTTTATAAAAGAGGGTAATGAGAAGCAAATGAACTACACATGGAGCTCTGTTTCCCTTTCTAGCAGTTCTTCAATAGCGTTTTAATTTCTGAGATATAAACGATATCTTTGTCTTCTTCTTCTTCTTCTTCTTCTTCTTCTTCCTCTTCTTCTTCTTTTGCTTTTTCTTCTTCTTCTACTTCTTTTTGTCTTGCTTCTTCTTCTTCTTCATCTTCTTCTTCTTCTTCTTCTTCTTCTTCTTCTTCTTCTTTTTCTTCTTTTTCTTCTTCTTCTTCTTCTTCTTCTTCTTCTTCTTCTTCTTCTTCTTCTTCTTCTTCTTCTTCTTCTTCTTCTTCTTCTTCTTCTCTTTCTTCTTCTTCTTCTTCTTTTCTTCTTCTGCTTCTTCTTCTTTTTCTCCTCCTCCTCCTCCTTCCTCACAATTGTGTTGGCTGTAAACATATCTGATATGCCCTCGTGTGTTCTAACTGCACTTTGGCTTGTGTGGTAAATGGCTGTGATGTTCTGTAGCAGCTGTCTCTGCACCCCGTAGTTCTCAAGACCAGACCGCAGTTTGTTTCTATCTATTCTATAGAAAACCTTTTCCTCATCTGCAAACACAATATTCTGTTGGGTGTTGCACTCAATGGTTTTCTCACAAACTTGCCTCAGAGAGAATAATGCATCTATGAATCATCTGCCTTTTCTGAAACTGAATTGTGATGCACTCAACATTTGTTCAACTATGGGTCTAACTCTCTGTTCTAGTAGTTTGGCGTACATTTTTCCTGCGAAACTCAGTAGTGATATACCTCTGATAGCTTAACATTCTCTTCTATTACCTATCATTTTCCACAACGGTACGTACTATTAATGCTTGTTGCCATTCAGCTGGGACTATCTTTCTTCCCAAGGTATTTTAAATATTTTTGTTAGCCACCTCTTTGCATGCTTGGGTCGCTTCTGTATGAATTCTATCCAGAACTGGTGCTTTGTTTCTTGGGCTTATCTCTACAACTGTTCTTACTGCTGCTGCTATGAAATTTGGCTCCTCTAGTTAACATTTATTAGTTACAAAGTTAAAATTATCCGAACAAAGTTAAAATTATCCGAACAAAGTTAAAATTATCTACGTTGCCTGCGGGGTTGAGTAGTTCTTGAAAATATTCTGCCCTTCTTGCCAACCCCCGGTTGGGCTAAAAAGAGGTATGCCTATCTTGCTGTTGAAGACAATTGTTGGGTTGTAGCCTGTCTCTTTTTCTCATAATTTTTACATGATTATAGAATTCTCTAGGGGAGTTCTTGCTGAGGGTGGCCATCTGTTCTCCATTAATTCTCCAAGACTTTAATTTTTCGTTTCGCTTCTCTTCTTGCTAATCTGTAATGGACATAATCTTGATGGGATTTTGACTTTAGCTATTGTTTGTACGCTTTCTTCGTTTTTGGATGCGCTGTCTGTACCTTCTTTGTTCCATCAGATAGTGCTTAAACGTTTTACACGACCTACCGTTCTCAATCCGCATTTGGTTTGACGCGTGCTGTGCAGTGCCGTCTTAAAAGATATAGTTTGAATCGATGTCTGAATATTCGCCTAAAGTTTGATTTCTTGTTTAATCTCACCTTTAACAACATTATCCTGAAGGTTTTGAAAGTTGATAATACCTGTAGTTAATTTTTTAATTTCTTGTTTAATCTCATCTTTAACCACATTATCCTGAAGTCTTTGGTGTCGATAATACCTGTAGTTATTATTTTATTTCTTGTTTCATCTAAATTTTAACCACATTAACCTAAAGATTTTGGAAGTTGATAATACAAGTAGTTATTATTTTTATTTTTTTCTCTCTACTCTGTTTTCTTTTTTTTTTATTATAACTTGTCTTTGATTAATGTCAGTGTTCGTGTTTGGTAGGACTCTTGAGTATATAAATTTGCTCTGTTTTGTCTTCCTCAATAGAATGAAGTCGATTTGCAAAGTCTGGTCTAAATTGTCCCACAATTAGGAAGTTTTGTTATGACTGTATTGATGCTGAAAAAAAAAAATGTTTCTAAGAGACGATGTTGTGAACACAAGTTACGTGGCTGTTCTCCGTCGATATTACAGTCCGTATCTGCATCGCTGAATGATTCACGAACATTCTTCCCATGAATGTTTGTGTGTGAGAGAAAATATATGTGTATATATTCTCTGATTACGATAGTACAATATATTCTACTTGCCGTTTTAAAGTCTTACTATCTTGTAGCTACATAATTTTTTTTTTGTCTACTTCTTCTTCGCGGTCACCGACAGTTAACCCCGGAAGAAGGCTCTAGTTCCTCGTTTAACTCTAGACTTTAGCCTTGTTCCAGAACCTGAGTGCCGATTGCACACCCGTTTTACAGAAACTGCTATGTGTATGCAAACTGTTGGTTTCTCGTCTCTCAGGCAATACACTCTAACTTCCAAAAATTTAAGTTAGTCGACATAAATTTTTTCGGGGGAGGGGGTGGATCGTTTCCTTCTCCCCCCCCCCCCCCAACCCACACACACTATGGGGTCCCAGAATGCACACGAGGAGATAAAGTTAGTTGCATATACTTTATAGAACATTATAATAACAACTATCCGGAACTGAAAGATTTGATCTAGTCTGTAGCTAGTTAAACAATAATATCTATCTCTGTTTAATTTCTTGTTTGATTTCGAATGTATTCGTAACTTCTCATACATGACTCCGTCTGTTGTCTAAATTAATTTAATGATTTTCTGAAAAAAATTTTGTATTGCATGACCAGTTTCCAAGAGATTCTCTATCAATGCATCAAGGGCTTTTTCATAATCATCTGATCTCGTACAAAGAAATCCCTGGTGTAGTTCAGACAAAATGTGACTTTGAACTTTCAGGTGACATAATTTGTTTGCCTTCAGTGTTTAGCCTATCTTAGAACGAGTAGTATGAGAAAAATGAACCTAGGCACATTCAGTGCTATTCACATTTTACTTAAAGAATTAAGAAAGAATTATTGAATTTTCATTGTTCTCTTACTACTGTTAAACTGAACCACCCTCTGAACAACACGGGCGAAGCTAGAGGTTCACAGCAGGGTTGCCTGATAAAAAACTTCATCTTATGCCAAACCATTGCCCAAAATATGCCAGAAAAATGTCAGATAAAGTGTAATATTGTACTCGCTTTACATCAAAAGCTCTAGATTGAATTCTTCACTGTCCTCCTCACTGGAACCAGTGGAAGAATCTTTAAGCATTTTCTCAGATGGGATGAAGTCTTTGCAGCTCATCTATAATGATGGCATTTTTCTTGTTCCGAAAATCATCAATAAGGTCATCCTTAAGTTCAGGCGATATATTTTTTTTTTTTTTTTTTTAAATTAGTCATGAACATTTAGTTCTATGCAACTATATGTGCTCCAATGTAATCCCCCTACCATGCGCATTTTTAGTCTGGGTAAACCTGGAAGCTAATGTTATTTTCTTTAATTCTCTGGTGGATTCGAGACAAGTGTGTACTTTGGTTAAAATATTTTGTAAATAGTTAAAGTATGTGTCGTTAAAAGTCGCTTGCCAGGTAAGATTCAAGAGATCCGCTTTAAAATGTAGCAACAGCAAAAACGATCATAAAAGAAGATCGAGAAATTCTATTTGCAGAGATAGTTATAGTAATAAAATAAAATTGAGCAAACGAACAATAAAATCATTTTCACAATAAACAAAACATTTGAAATAATGCGCTGTCGACTAGTTAACTAGGGCTGCTGTATTGAGCACAGGTTCAACCCACAAACTGACAATTTTCTTCAAAATTTTGGAATTTGAATTTTTTTTTAAATTTTAAACGCTGCATAAAAGCTTATTCATTTTTGCACACTGTAATACATTTCATGTTGTAAAATGTTATCTGAAAGTATACTTAATTAATTTTTTTTTTTTTTTTAACTATTATGGACATGGTAACCCTTTTTTACTTAATTATATATGTGCCGGTCAGAAAACAAATAGACTTTTATGATGGCAGTAGATTGGACTTAAGCTCACCGTTTTGTCTACATTATGTCTGCAATGGTAACAGTAGAGATTATGATCCTCACTATGTCTATATGTTGTTTTACAAGGTGAAAATGTTAAGGATTTAGCTTAACCGGTTTGTTTTTTCCAGCAACCGAAACACACACAAAGGTATGCGCATATGTCTATACATGGGTGTTAATTTATTCCCAATCAGTGCATGTCGTGTGGTACTGGTAGTCATGTCTATCCACAACCTTCTGTCTCGCGTACTGTAAATATTCTCTGATACAGATGATCCTTCATACAGGGCCGTCTTAACGCTTAAGCCTTTTGGGAACTTGTCCGGGGGTCCCACGAGCAAAGGCCTCCCAAGCTGATTTGTGAATGACAAGTGACTTGCCATAAAAGAGGTTCGTAGTTGTTTCCAACTGTGCCATCTAATCTGTGTCTATGCTTTAACACTAGTTGTGTTTAAGTGCCGGTAAAAAAAATATATGTTTAATATTATCAGTCATTTGCACCTCATTCTTATGAGTGGTTTTCATTGGGTCGCAGCACATTGGTTTGCCCGGGGGCCCATAATGCAGTTACGAAGGCCCTACCTTCATGCCGTGACGAAGAACTTTCTAGGATCAGTTTCCTCTGCTTCTCTCCCCCTCCAATTTTCCTACTCACTTTGTACTGGAGTTTTCACCTCCTCATGACATTATCAAAGAATGTAAATGTTATATATATATATATATATATATATATATATATATATATATATATATATATATATATATATATATATATATATATATATATATATATATATATATGTGTGTGTGTGTGTGTGTGTGTGTGTGTGTGTGTTTGTGCGTGTGTGTGTGTGGTGTTTCATGGTTGTATTAATCACTGTTACTGCAGGCTGAAGATCTGCAAGGCCCAAGAATAATACACCTAAAAAAAATCAGTTAGTTAAACCAGACACACAGGGTGGTGAGGTGGACAAACCTTCCAGAACCAGGGCTGAGGGAACATGATCCAGCACTGCCACTTGCCACTGATGAGCATCAGTCGGTTGATGACCAACATCGGAATTGAGAAAACCAGAGCGAAGCCCCAGGCCAGACCAATGAGAACTCGGATGCGTAATCCTGTGAGGTAGATCAGGTGTAGAACAGAGGTAGACCAGATGTAGAACAGAGGTAGAAACGGTGTAGAACAGAGATAGATCAGGCGTAGAACATGTGTAAAGGAGGGGTAGAGGTGTAAATCAGATTTGGAACAAGCATGCAACATTTATAGAACAAGCGAAGATCATGTATAGAACAGGCATAGATCTTAAATAGAACAGGTATAGATCGTGTATAACAGAACAGGTGTAGATCATGTATAACAGAACAGGTGTAGATCATGTATAACAGAACAGGTGTAGATCATGTATAACAGAACAGGTGTAGATCATGTATAACAGAACAAGTGTAGATCATGTATAACAGAACAGGTGTAGATCATGTATAACAGAACAGGTATAGATCATGTATAACAGAACAGGTGTAGATCATGTATAACAGAACAGGTGTAGATCATGTATAACAGAACAGGTGTAGATCATGTATAACAGAACAGGTATAGATCATGTATAACAGAACAGGTGTAGATCATGTATAACAGTACAGGTGTAGATCATGTATAACAGAACAGGTGTAGATCATGTATAACAGAACAGGTGTAGATCATGTATAACAGAATAGGTGTAGATCATGTATAGAATGTGCAGATAATGTATACAACAGGTTTAAAATGACAATACAGGAAGCAGTTTTGACAGTCAAAATTATCACATGAAAACTGTGTTGTCAAAGCAATTATATAATGTAGACCATCTCAATGTAGGGATTCGCTGGTGGTCCGCTAGCCTCACCTTCAGCAAAACTCAAACCTGATCATTTATTGTGGCCTTTTCTTTGCCCAGTTTATGATCTGAGGTTAAAAACAAAGAATTAATTGTCAGGGGGAGAGAAAAAAAAAAAAAGAAAACGAAACCTTCAAGGGCTGAGCCAGGTAGATTTCTTGATTAGTAAATACGCTGACCAGAAGTCGATACCAGCTCGACTAGAGCAACAGACAAAGCTAACCCTGACAGGACCTCGTGACTGCTTTCAGTAAAGTAAAGACTCTCGTCCAAGGGTTTCGGGCATTTAGGGCTAAACCTAAACTTTATAGATCACCCGGCACTCGGTGTGTGATGTGGTCAACATCACGCCGGCGTCTTTTATTTTCCAGGACATGGGAGGACCTGGGACCCATGGTCATTTTAAAAATTTCCGGCTCATCAGGACCTGAATCCAAGAAATATGGATCCTCATGCGAGCGTCTAGCCACGACACCCCAGGGACTCCCTCGTGACAACTTTGCTTTGCAAAATGGTCTTTGGCCAATGTGAAATTAATGGATTGCCATGCTAGAAAGCCATAAAATAACTACAAATTTAAAGGTGACAGCAAAAACAAAAATGCATAGACGACATTTTGAATTTGCAATATTTACTAATTACAACGAAGGTGTTAAGACAGGAAGCTGTTAGCTATGGCAGACCGAAATTACATATTTCAAAACTAGATGACAGGATGTCAACTAAAAGTCCATCTTCTGTTTTTATTCAAGAATTATTTTAAACAAGAAGATGGAGATAAAAGAACAGGAGCAAACAAGAGGAGGAGGACGAGGACGAGAAGGGAGAGAAGCAAGAGGAAGGCAAGGAGAAGAAGAATAAGGAGAAAAATAAAAAGGTCATGATGATAACGATGATGCTGATTTTTTTTTTTTAAAGTGAAAGAGAAGAAAATGAAACAAAGAAGAAGAAGCAAGAACAGAAACAAGAACAGAAACAAAAACAGAAACAAGAACAGAAGCAAGAACAGAAACAAGAACAAATTGGACACGGAATACTTCACCACCGAAATAATCTAATTTTCAAACAAGTAGCCCAATCAGGCAACACTTCGCGCATTTCGAATCACATTGTAAAAAATCCAAATGATGCTTTTACCGAGCTCCAGCGGAAATGCGTTGCACATTTATTTTCAATGCAAAAGTTTCGGGCAATAACCTTGAGTCTTCTAGTGAAGTGTATGCCAGCCATCTTTTGCTGCTGGATCTTTGCGGGGATTGAACAGTCTGCAAGGTATAGCACTGCAACCATCAGTGTTATGGGAAGCTAGCTCTTCTATGAGAGGAGAAGCGAAAATTAGTACACTGCGGATATCTAGTGATCGCATTAGCCGCCTCCACCTCCCCGTTGTGCAGACCTGAGACTGTATCTAAGAGAATACAGGCTAACTGGGAAACTGGTCACCTGGAGAGGACTGGGCACCGCCAGGGTTGAAATACTGTCTGAGATGCACACTTGACAACCAGCACAAACCACAGAAAAAAGCCCAGAAACCGGTGGCTATGTACAAATCAGGAATCGACAGGCGTACCCTTACGCCAAAAGAAAGACATGATACCTAGGACCGCAAAGGAACAAAGACTTAACTAAAACCAAGTCCTCGAGGCAGGTTGAAAAGTCCAAACTTTTAATGTTTTTTCACTTCTCAATGAAAAAAAAAAAAAAAAAAAGGCTATGACTGATAGATTGGATTTGGACCTGTAAAGGGTCGAAGATGATAAAGAAATAAGTGAAATTTGTTATAAGTAACAAGCAAGATATCCTGAACAATCAGAAACAGTAACAAAACAACTCTGGCTTTTCTTGAATTATTAGAGAAAGAACAAACTTGACAGCTGGGAAGCTAGATGGGAAATAAAAAGCTAATGAAAGTCATAAACACTTGGATGCCCCAGAACCCACTGTTCCCCCATCCCCTCGCCCCCTCGTTTAGCCTGTCGTAAAACGCTACCAAATAGGAGTTTGCTGAGATCAGGTGTAAACTTGTTGTGTTACGTTGTGTTGTTTTGTGCAGTTTTCCTCTTTCCCATTTTGTTGAGCTTTTTAGTCAAATTTCTCTGGAATTTATTGAGATCGGGTGTGTTGGGTCGACAGGAACAAATGTCGCTGCCTAGCTGTCAAGCAAAACACAACGTAACAAACTTGACTAAAATGAGTTGACAGCATCCAGATGTCTTGCCTCAAGATACTATCTTGGCTGTGTACACCGGCAGACGCCGAGGTGAAAGGAAATGAAAGAACCGACATATTGGCCGTATCTGCAGTGGCTAGCGAAGGAAGAAGAATAGACACGGTCGATATTCTAAATGCGCTGCATTCTACGCACAAAAAAGTCAGAAACAATAAAACACCTGTTGGAAATGGGCATTCAACAAGGACAAACATGCACAAACCGGTTGTGTGGGAAAGAAGGTAGATATACAGGTCAACTCCTACTGGGCACGTTGAGCATGGAGACGCTGAGATGACTGCTGCATCGGGGGACGGAGCACGAATGGGTCGGCCCGATGTGCTAGGATCTCGATACGGACAATAGGTGACAAGTAACAGTCGCTACGGACACAAGTAACAGTCTATATGGACAACAAGTAACAGTCGATGCGGACAACAAGTAACAAGTAACAACAAGTCAACCGCCCTTTTAAGGACGAGAGCAGAAGAAGAGGAAGAAGCAGATGGTGACTGCTGTAGTTATTGTTTACTCACGATCTCCACTGAAACTGAGGGGCCTGGCTATGGCATTGAGTCGATCCAAACTTAAGGCAACCAGAGCGTACGTTGAAGCGTACGTGACCACACTCTGACTATAGCGTACAATCTTACAGCCTGCGTTACCCGCATACCAGTCTATGGTGTTCTTCCACACGATGTCCGTCAGCACGTTGACCAGTCCAGCCAGCAGATCTGCAAGCAAAAAGGAGATGACATTGGTCAAACTGTGTTTAATGTTCAATAATCGATATCACAGCACTCTGGACGTCTCCATAAGAGCTTCGTCCCTATCTTCAGTAGCAAGCGCAGAGGTCCAATCCTGATGGTACTAGCAACTGTCTGACTGTATATGCGCATACCTTTCACTTCAGTGCCGATCGTCGGCCAGATTTTCTGGTCACTGCTCGCAGCAGCATTTTCCCTACACCGCGATGATCCATCCGTGCCTCTGCACTGTTCACTCAGCCCCAAAGGGCCCTCGCAACATCTAGCTAGACATGCATGAATTAATCACTAAGCTCTGCAGAAGCACCCAGTCCATCTGCCTGCGTATTTCCTACTGCACCAGCATACCCTGGATAAAATATACAGAGGATATTAACTACTCCAGACCTCTGAAGCGATGCTTGCTACTCTTCACGAAACATACCGGTCTCTACTAGCTTTCTCAGCATGGTCTGTGAGTCGGTTTTAGTTACGATGTGTGAACCGCTGATTCTCAAGCCAGTGGAAGACTGCAGTGACTGCCTCCACCCTCATTCTCAAACTATATGTTGTGGTGTTATGTGTGATGTCTCAGACTTCATGTGTACACCGCTGTTGGGAAACAGCTTAGCTGGTTCTGCATCACTATGTTTGTTTGTATGTATGTACGTATATATGTATGTATGTAATGTTTGCATGCATGTGTGTGTGTGTGAGTGGGTGATCGTGTGTATGTGGGTGTATGTATGCACGCGCGGGTTTTTCGCATGCACTTTACAACTCATGCTTTTGTGTTCTTTTATAATATTCATAATATGCATATTATCATATGATCATAACATGCTTTATTAGTAAAAATACAACTGCTGTGCGAAAGATGGTTGACTGGAAGGGCCGAATGTAAGACGGGCCTGCGTGCCCAATTTGTGACCCTTTGAAAATAAAGTTCGTTCGTTGGTTCGTTCGTTCACTAGATGATCAACTGATGCATGACAAGCTAGATGCCTTCTGTATCATTTGGGAGCCGGTTAACAGTGCTTACACAAGAATAGATCATCTTCGTATGAAGAGAATGGAGCCGCGGAAAGTACAGTGGGATGTGCTCTACACCCAGCGCTGGGTGGAAGAAACGATTGATAATCAAACTGCAACTGGTACCCTCAGCGTGGGAACTCTTCGGCTGCTGCAATTGGAACTGATCGTTTACGGAAATATTACAAATGCTGTGATTTTCGTTCTAAACTCAACTTTAACTCAGCTCAGCTCAGATGTATCTCAGCCGTTTGCAAGCGCTTCCTGGTTCGTCTCGTCCAGCGATTCACTGTCATCCAGTGGAGCAGACTATGGAGAATGTTCCACAGTTCGCTTTCTGTTATTTAATTCTTTTAGTTCCGAACAACGCACGACGTGTGACATGCTTTTGTCTAAGTGAACCAGGCAACGAATGATCTGGTATAAAGAATTATGATTACAAATTTATTTTAAAATAATTGTAATATGCAAAATATTATATTTCATGCAAAACGTGTAAGTGCTAATACACAGACATTCAACTTAAAAAATGTAAGTGAAAATTCCTGTAGACCTGTAATGAGAAAGCAAGGAGTGTGCAGGTTTTGCCGCCGAAAGAGAAAAATCGCTAGCGTTACCGAGAATTTGACCCAGGGTCTCCCGCTTAAAAGTCTAGTGTTCTAATTGCTCGGCCAGCCACTCCTCTATTACCAATAACTTGGGACGTATGATAGCCGATTACCAGCGAGAGGACAATAAAAAAACAATATACCATTAGGTCCACAAAAAGCTTTCTTAGAACAATCGTACAGCTCCTTACCCTTCAGCTAATCCCCAAGTGTCATTACCCGACCTCGGAAACGACTCCAGAATTTTCCAGAAGAGAACAATAAAAGCTCCGGAAACGGAAGTGAGGTTTTTCACACTGACCATAATGGCGGCCAGACAACGTAATGATCCACTTAATGGCTGCCACAGATTATTCAGATTGTGTGAGGTTGATTTTGTGTCTATGTGATTGTGGGGTTTTGTGCGTTTTACAATTTTATTAAACAGAATTGCTACTTTCTTTTATTTCTAATTGAAAATTTCTTCCCTTCTATTGACCATCAAAATATCTTCGTACTTCATCTCTTTAGGTCCCAAACAGCGCATGATGTGTTGCTGACTACTTCCCAAATGTCTCAGATACCTCAACATGTCTCTTCTTGTATCTAAGTTTTGGTCAGTGTGTGTCCGATAAATCTGGCAACCACATGGGTATCTTTCTTTCATTTCTAATTCCTGCAACACGGCAGGTGGTTTATGTTTTGTGGATATACTGAATACACAAAAAAATAATAATACAAATAATAATAATAATAATAATAACAATAATAATAATAATAACAACAACATTTTAGCAAATCCTTATGAGATAGAAAGATTTAAGCAGACGGGTTTTACATATTTCCTAGCTAAACTTATGGCTCATCAAAGCAGTCAACGGTCGTCTTTATAAAGACGATTGGCTGAACGGATTCATCTCAGCCCGGCCCTGACTTCAGGTTCCATCGTCATATCCTGTCGTCTGCAACCCTGGAGGGGACAAACTGCAAAACTGTTAATAGATATCAAATTCTCTGGACTTGGTTGTACACTATCAGCATTTCTTTGTCGTCCAGCCTTTGATGTTGTCCTCCCGATTGTACCAATGTCTGTCTGCTAGTATATTTCAACCCCAACCCAACCCTTTTATGAGTATTGTTTAATGTCTCAGTATTTTTTTTTCGGGACGATCTTGTTGTCATGAAAGTCGGGAGGGCGCATGACTTACTGTCTCGAAAGACACAGTGCCATGGAGACTAGCACGACTTACTGTCTCCAAAGTCACAGTGCCATGGAGACTAGCACGACTTACTGTCCTGAAAGTCACAGTGCCATGGAGACTAGCACGACTTACTGTCCTGAAAGTGACAGTGCCATGGAGACTAGCACGACTTAGAGCTATGAAAGTCACAGTGCCATGGAGACTAGCACGACTTACTGTCCTGAAAGTCGCAGTGCCATGGAGACTAGCACGACTTCCTGTCCTGAAAGACACAGTGCCATGGAGACTAGCACGACTTAGAGCTATGAAAGTCACAGTGTCATGGAGACTAGCACGACTTACTGTCTCCAAAGTCACAGTGCCATGGAGACTAGCACTACTTACAGCCATAAAGGTCGCAGTCACGAAGAGACTAGCACGACTTACTGTCATGAAAATCGAAGTCACGGAGAGACTAGCGCGACTTACTGTCATGAAAATCGAAGTCACGGAGAGACTAGCGCGACTTACTGTCATGAAAATCGAAGTCACGGAGAGACTAGCGCGACTTACTGTCATGAAAGTCACAGTGCCATAGAGACTTGCTTGACCTACTTTTATGAATGTAGCAGTGACAGAAAGACTCGCTTGACTTACTGTCATGAAAACTGCAATGAATTAGAGACTAGCAAAGCTTACTATTATGAATGTCGCAGTGACATAGAGACTAGCATGACTTACTGTTATGAATGTCGCGATGACATAGAGACTAGCACGACTTACTGTTATGAATGTCGCGGTGACGGAGAGACTAGCACGACTTACTGTTATGAATGTCGCGGTGACATAGAGACTAGCACGACTTACTGTTATGAATGTCGCGGTGACGGAGAGACTAGCACGACTTACTGGTATGAATGTCGCAGTGACGGAGAGACTAGCACGACTTACTGTTATGAATGTCGCGGTGACGGAGAGACTAGCACGCATGCTTTAGGCGTATTGGGCATATAGGGGTAGATCTATACTTTAAGACCAGTCGGCAGGTGATGTAAGTCATCATAAAGACAGCCGGCTTTACCTCCTAAGACTTTACCTGGTACCCATTTAAAACTGTGTCGCCAGGGAGCGAAGGTCATTCTGAAAACACAAAAGTCCGGCTGCGTCAGGATATGAACCCACGACCTTCTATTTCAAAGGTGAGCATCTAGCCGCTACACCACGACGGCTCCAATCATGATATATATCGTACTTTAAAGGCTCTTTCGCAGAAAAATAATTAGGAAAAATCTGGACACAACACATTCTGCCAGGTAGTTTTTTTCTTTTTTTCTTTTATGAAACACAGTTTAGCATACACCGAATAAGATAATGAAAAAAATGACACATACAAAAAGCCGTGATTTATGACAATATGTAAACACAATATGACGCACTTTCCACGGAGAAAATAAATCATAGAATTTCGATGGATAATCGACCATATGTTCAGATTTGTCCATGACAATTTTTCTCGGAAAGGGATTTTTTCACAGCCCCAAAAGACAGGCCCTCAAGTCTCCCAATTTATGGGAGTAATTCTATATGGTGCAGTTCCCCCCCCCCCCCGGGCCACACACACATACACACACACACACACACACACACATCCCGTCTGAAAGAAAAGCATAAAAATGCATTAAAAACATGCATGTGTGCAATGTGTTATATGCTTGTGCTGTGTGTGTGTGTGTGTTATATGCTTGTGCTGTGTTATATGCTTGTGCTGTGTGTGTGTGTGTTTGGGAAATAAATAAGTGGGGGGGGGGGGGGGGAGGGTGTTATCCTTAGAAGGAAGTAGCTTAGTGAACGAACGAACGAGCAAACGAACGAGCAAACGAATGAACAAACTTTATTTTCAAAGGGGTAAAAACTGGACACGCATGCTGGTCTAACATTCTGCTCCTTTGGTCCATTCCTTGTGTACAGTTAGTTATTCTTCGAATATCAATTCATAGTTAATAAAAATTTTTTTTAGATGTCACAACATTTAAGTCTTATCTAAAACCGCTGATGATAACGAGGAAGGGTATTAGGGGAAGGTGTGTGTAAGGGGGTGGGGAGGGGTGGGGGGGGGGGGGGGTCCATGCTGCTTTTGCAAGAACTGCAAGGATTTGTGCTATCTTATTTCTCTTCTGCTTTGACATATTGAAAAACGAGCAAACAAGCACAAACTACTGATGCTAGTTTCACTATAACAACCGCTGTTGTTTATAACTACAACTACAACCACAACCACAATAACAATTACTGCCCTACCACCACTAGAGCTAAACACATCCGCTGACACAAAGTGCCACTATTCGGGTGAAAATCACACGAGTGCAAGTCCCAGAAACCCAGTGAAATCCTTGGATTATATTAGGGCGCTTAGTGACAGCCGGGTTTTGGGGCGGAATGAACAATACACTACCCAAGATGTGAGTCATAATGACTGACTCACTCACATTCAACCCGACCACAACTGCCCAACGAGAAATGAACACCCAGTGACACAAAGTACCACCATTCGGATAAGAAGCACCCATGGAGAGGTCCCGGAAACCCCGTTCAACCGGTTGGTTATATTTAGGGTCTCCGACCACAGACGAAATTGGGCTTTCAAAAAAAACAAATCACAAACACACACTTTGTGTCCCATTGGGGCTGATGAACGATTCACCACTCAACATTGGTAGGGAGGTAGGTTGTACCCCACTAGGACATCTTACAAGCGATAAACACACGGTGACACAAAGTGCCACCACGCGGATGAGGATCACCCCTGGAGAGATCCCAGAAACCCCTTTCAGACGTGAGGTCATATATGGCTATATTCAGGGCCCCCGGCAAAAGCCAGGGTGGAGATTCAAATAACAAAACAAAAAATTGCATTCCACTCAGGGACGACTATTAGTATATATCCAGCTAGGACATCACACAAGCGATAAACACCCGATGGCACAAATGTGGATGAGAATCACCAGTGGAGAGGTCCCGGAAACTGCGTTCAGCCATTAGACCATATTTATGGCCGGGCTATATTGAGGCCCCTGGCAACAGCCAAGGTAGGTCTTCAAATAACGAAATATTGCATCCCACAAAGGGGATAACTAGTGGGTTATGGTATTATGTAAAATAATATACTAAAAATGCAGACTGTCTGACTGACTTTCTACCCCACCAGGACATCACACAAGCGATAAACACCCGATGACACAAAGCGCCACCATGCGGATGAGGATCACCGAGGAGAGGTCCCAGAAACCGCGTTTAGACAATTGGCCATATTGATGGCCTGCCTATATTGCGGCAAAAGCCAG